AGCCTCGGCGCCGCGGCCCGGCTCCCACGCTCCGCAGGCGTGTGCGCGCGCACGCGGGGAGGCGCGCGCACGCGGGGACATGCGCACACAGCACATTCACGCACGCACGCAGAAGCACACACAGGACGTGCGTGTTTGCGCACACACGAGTGTGCACACGCACGCCCGCGCACACGCGCACACACCCCGTTACGGCCTGAATGCTTGTGTCCTCTGAACGTTCCCCCGTTGAAATCCCCACCTCGATGGGACGGTGCTGGGAGGTGGGCCCTTGGGAGGTGACTCAGGTCAGACGGGGTCGTGAGGGTAGGGCCCCCACGATAGGATTAGCGTTCCTACGAAGGGGACCCCGAAGAGCCCCGGGGTCCCTTCCACAGTGTGTGCACGCGCCGTGGCCAGAGGAGGCCCGCGCCGGCCCGGCGGCACCCACGCCGGGCGCCAGGACCGTGCGAGCTGCGTCTCGGCCGTCTGGGAGCCCCCCGCGGGCGCACGCTCACGCACGCGTGCCCGCCCAGACACACGCGCACGGGCGCACACCCGCGGCCCTGTCAGCAGGCCCGTAGGCGGCCGCGTGCCGGTCGCTCTGAAGGTCGGGAAATGGGTGGCTCTGGCCGGCGTGGGTCAGTCTCAACGGTTGGGAGCCGCTCGTTCATGAGCCCTGAGCACAGTCAGCGACAGGGGACCCCTTGGCCCCCCCGAGCCATCCCCGGGCCAGGGGGCTCCAGCACGTCAGGGTGACGGAGGTGCCGACCCGAGCCGCCGGCCGCCAGCCCCACGCCAGGTCTGTGCGAGGGGACCCGGCCGTGCTGAGCCATGCCGCCCCGCCCCCAGGCCTGCCCCTGACATTCGCGGGGGGACGCCTCTTTGGTGACTCACCCGGCGTCCACGGAGAGTGGCCAGGGATGCCAGAAATGCCAGCGAGTCCGTCAGGGCGCTCGGCGCCGCCCTCTGGACCTGCAAGCATCCGAGGCATGTGACCGCGGGCCTCCGGATCCTAATTCTTACAGCCTCTTCTTGGGCGGCTGCCGGCCCGGGATCAGGTGACCCCTCAGTGCAGGGCCACGGCGGGCCCTGGAGACGCGATGCGATGCGAGGGAGGCCCCGGGGGCCTGGACAGGCGGGGGCAAGGCCTTGGGGGGGTGACTGGGGTTCTGGGCCCCGCTGTCCGCACTTGGAAACCGGGTTAGGATGCTTTCTGTCTCCCAGGGCTGCCGAAGCACTCGCCACAAATGGGGCGGCCCTGGGACAAGAGAAGCTGGTTGTCTCAGTCCCGGAGGTGGGAAGCGGAGGTCAAGGTTCGGCGGGGACGCGTGCCCTCCGAAGGTGTGGGGGCTCCTCTTCTGCTCCCGGGGGCTGCCGGTGGCCTCGGTCCTCCTTGGCTTGCGGCCGCCGCCTCACCGGGTCTGTGCTCTGCTCACATGGCCTTCTCCCCGCGTGAGGGCCCCTCTACCCCAGTGCGCCCCGCTCTGAATGTGCTGGCGTCTGAAAGACCGAGTTTCCAAACGAGGCCACACCCGTGGGCACCAGGGCTGGGACGTGGGCCCCCCTTGTGGGACTGGAGTCAACAAGATTGTGAGGCCTGGGGATTATGCATCACTGGGGGTCATAACTGAGCTGCTCCCCAACAATCCTGATGTTCCAGAACTTGCAATCCATGGTGTAAATGAAAGACGCACAGCTTGGGGGGCTGCCCGCCAGCCTGCACCCTCAGGTCCCGAGGACATGCCTGAGCCGGCTGGAAGCCCCCCGAGGGGCAGCCCAGCATCTCCCCTGGTCTCCCGCTGCTTGCGCACCTCAGTCCCATGTTGGGGTCCGCTCACCTCAGTCCCCTGTTGGGGTCTGCTCGGCTCCGGTTTCTCAGGGACCCTCAGAGGTCTGGCATTCTTCACGGCGGCCGAGGGCCCTGCTTCCTTCCTGTGGGTAGCCGCTCTGTCGCCGGGAGCTGGCCCTCGGCCCTGTCCAGCTGTGCGCACCTGCCACCCGGCCCCAGGGGCTTCGGGAATGTGGTCAGCAGTCTGGTCCAGGCCTCGGCGCCCAGAAGGTGAAGACCACCTGCAGGGTCAGTGTGGTGTCTTGGAGAGCCTGTGGGGCTCGGCGATGGAGGCTCGCCACCCACCCGGCCGAGCCCACACCACCCCAGCCGCACCCCAGGGCCGGGCCCTGCCCTTGAGTCTCCCTGGCCTGCATGAGCGCACCCGCTCCTGTCTTGCGTGACTGTTCCACGGGACACCTGGCGTTTCCACGCTTTCTTCTTGACCTGGGCAGTGTTCATATCTGTGTCACTTCTGCCCGTGCATGTGAAATACGCACCACAGCTACTGTCGTGGGGACAGCCAGCCCCTGGCCACATCACAAGACCACGTCCACGGACCGACAGGAACACCACGCCAATAACGAATGCCACCCTCTCTTAAAGCTGGCCTTGCATGGGGACGGAACGAGAGGGGCCGATGAGTCAAGTCCTGGCTGTAGAGCTCACGGCTCTAGGACGTCAGCTGGGCAGTGAACGGGGCTCCCAGGACAGGCTGCTGAGTGTGGACACCGGCCCCGTCCAGGCCGGTGCGCGAGCCCCCACGCCCCGTCTGACCACACACGCAGCGGGAGGACCTGTGTCCTGAGTCAGTGCCCCGTGGCGACCCGCGTCCGATCTCTTACCCAGGCAGGACTGTTGGTGGTGGTGGTAATGCGAGCGACCCGGCTTGAGCCTCATTAAAAAGGCGTGAGGAGGAGTTCCCAGAGGGCTCGCTAACTATCCCTGGAATCCTCGAGGCACCGGACGGCTTCTGAGAAGGAGCAGGCGCAGGGCGGGGGGCCTGAGATTCGAGAGTTCTGGGGCACGGTGCGGCGGGCGGTGGGCTCCTCCCCAGGCACCCGCCTTCCCGCTCACCCTGGCGGGAACAGGGCTGGGAAACCCAGTGCATTCAGAAAAGAGAGGACACCAACTCTGGCTCCCAGAGGTCAGACGACTTCCTTTTTCTGGAAAGCAAGCAGGTGGTTCAGCTCCGTGGCTTGCCGAGCGTGGTCCCCGCACCAACAGCGGCAGGAGCTAGGACCTGGTCTCCGATGGGGGGTCTGGAGCCACAGCCCTGACCTTCCACATCAGCCTCTCCGAGGATGTCCCAGCAACCTGCTTAGCGAGCGGTTTTGGTGGTTGGCGTGTGAGGACCTCTGCTTCCCTGAAATATCAGCCTGAAGACAAATACTCACTCTAAACTGGTTAAAAATAAACTGCTCTTTTATCCAGTTATTCCCTCTCCAGGAGTTCATTTTCATGTCTAGGAACTTATTCGATGGACACACTCACAGAAGTGTGCAAAGATGGGAGCATGAGTTCTGTAAGAAATGGAAATATCATGAAGTGTGTCCAACGGAGCTGCGGTGCAGGAAGGCATGACATGCTCATACGTGGGAGGCTCCCCCGTCCGATAAGGAGGGAGCGTTATGCGTACTGGTCTGTTAAGGTGCCTAACAGAGGTGGTTAAAGGCAAAAAGCAAGGGGCGCCTGGGGGGCTCAGCCGGTGAAGCGTCTGCCTTCGGCTCAGGTCATGGTCCCGGAGTCCTGGGATCGAGCCCCGCATCGTCAGCTCCCTGCTGAGAAGCTCCCTGCTTCTCCCTCTCCCTCTCCTTCTGTGCTCTCTCTCTCTTAAATGAATAAATAAAATCTTTAAAAAAGGCAAAAAGCAAGTTGCACGACAGTACAGAATGCAGTTCCGTTTGTGTTTGTAGAAGGAGGGGACATGTGTACACGCCCAAATACCCTGATTCATTTGTGTCTGGAAAAATAGACAACATGAGTGTGTATTTAGTGATTTTAAAACTACCCAGCGAGAAGAAATAAAACCCAAAAATTACACAAGAGAGAGTGTGAGCGCCCACGCATTCGTCTGGGCCCTGGCCTTTCTCCGGCCGAGCCAGCCGCTCCCGCTCTCCTCATCCCGCTAACACATAAGCTCATTGCCTTGTGTGTTTTCCAAGGAAACCGCGTTCTAAGGCTTCATGATGCTTGAAGATATTAAGCAGCTTCATAGCATTTATTTTCAGACTAAATAGTTTAATCTCTATCTAATTTCTCCTCAGAAAGCCTGAGTCATCTGAGAGCTGTCTATAGTTCTGCCAATTTGGAGATGTCGGGCGAACGCATCATTAGTGTCCCCAGATAGGTTAATTTTACTGAGGAGGCCGTGAATCGGTGGTTAATCACCATTGCGGTGCTGTCGGTAATCATCGGCTGAGGGTGATGCTCGACTGACAGATCAAAGAGAAGTACCTTTTAAAATATGGCGTGAATGACAGAATGGGAGAGATTAAGACACAGACAGACTAGAGGGACAGAGGGACAAAGAGACAGATGGAGGTGAATGCAGGGATTTCAATGATTAGCCCTTGGCCCTAAAATGTGCCCGAAACTGTGCCCGACACAGCCGGGCCGTGCTTTCTAGGATTCTGTGGGGTGGGTGGGGCGGCCGAGGACAGGGGTGTTGGGGGGTGGCCTGGAGGTGGGGGGTGGGCCTGGTGGCCTCCAGGGACGGACGTGCCTGCAGATGAGCTATGGCAGGAAGGAAGGACGGCCTTTGCACACCAGATGTTCCCCGGACCCTGAAGATCAAGGAATAATGGAGGAGATTATGATGGGAGAGGGAGGTTTCTTTCTTTCTTTTTTTTAAAAAGATCTTATCTATCTATTATCTATCTATTTATCTATCTATCTATCTATCTATCTATCATCTCTCTATCTATCTATCATCTATTTATAGAGCAGGGGGAGGGGCAGAGGGAGAGAGAGAATCTCACACAGACTCCCTGCTAAGTGCAGAGCCCCACGTGGGGCTCCGTCCCATG